TAAAAAAACACCTCTTTGCGTTTTGGGGAAAGCTTGCAGCCACATCTATAGCACTTTAAGATAATGTTTTTATTTCTAAATAAATATGTGGAGCTATGTGACCAATTTGTTACTCCTCTGTTTTAATAAGTTGATTTCACTTTTCACTTACTGATGAGAGCCCTTTTAAGCAGCTCTAGAACCTAACACCAAGAACACATAACAAAAGCATAACTAACAACTAAGCATTGCTACAGAACAAAAGGACAAAATGCTAGAATAAAACAAAATTTTAAACTCTTTCTCTTCACTTTCTTAAAAACGTCACTGAAAATACACTCTGTTGCACAGCCAGATGATCATACAAACAGCTTCAAACAGAGTTCTTGGAGAATCAAGTGAGCTAAGCAGGACAGCTTCACCACCCGTAAAACAGTATCACCTATCTGAGCCCTTCTCTCCCATGAGAAAGGAAGCTCTTCCAAAGCTCACAGGAGAGAAATTTTCTACTAAGGTCCAGTTTCAGCTGCCTTGCTGCATCTTCAACAAAATTAACACCAATGGCGGGCAGGCCACTGAATCAATCAGAACACAGGAGTAAACCCATGAACACTGCATTAAATTGACAACAAACTTTGCTATAGACATTCAAACAATATGTATGCAATTAGGCTTGCTAATTATAAGGGGGAAAAAAAGGCATTTCTGAGTACACTTCCTCGGGGTTTATCGGGTCTTCATCACCATCAGTTTCTTTGAGTACCAAGCCAACTTTATGAAGTCAGCACTTCATAAATATACTGGGTATACCTAAATATGCTTATGTATAGCCAGAATATCACCCATAGTAAATGCACCAATAACACAACAAACTCACCTCATCATCGCTATCTGATGTCTCTGAGTCTGAGGACGCTGTAGGTTTGCTCACAGGAGGCTCCTTCTCCTCAGAGTCACTGCGTTTCCGTTTGGCCAATGACAAGAGTTCCTGGTATAAAAAAAAATACACATAATTTAAAAAATATGTCACTAGTTTTGCTAATTCAGGTCAGAGCATATACACTCAAGTATCACAGAGAAGGTGCATCTCGGCAACATGATTATCCTCACAGCCTACAACAGAAAAACAACACAAAATGCTTTGTCACTCAAAGTCATGACTGATATATTTAGCTACTCTTCCTCTTCACAACACCTAGATACTGCAGAACGCACAGAGTGGGCATCAAGCTCAAAGTTTGTCAAACTATATATACATAAACTATATATAAACCAGTTCTCCATCAAAAGGAAGCACCCTCAAAGGCAACACACAACAGCATAAAGAACTACATGGCTCACAAAATCCCATCATCCGCTGCTCACAGCTTCTTCAGAAGATAGCAGAATTAATATAAAATAAACATTTTCTGCACTACTGCCTATCAAGCCCATAAAACATGTTGTGTTCTTGAAAATTTTACTCTGGTGCTGTGAGCACAAGCCACATCAACTTGTGCAGTCTTGAACAGACAGTATGGGGTAGGTTTACCAGAGCTTCAGAACTGAAGAACATCTCCACAGCAATGCAGGTTAGAATTTAGCACCACAAGTGATAATCAAAAGAGTGCAGAAAGCAAAGGACTAGCATACTTACTGACAAGATCTTCCCCTAGTAATGGCATTATACAAACCTCTGAAGAAAACTTGCATCAATGGAACATACTTAAACAGGGCAAAGTTCTTGTGAGGAAGCTCCTGGTGTTTTCTATAACTGTTTTGTGGAGTTTCCCCTCTCCCAAACTCATCTTCAGCCTGGTTTCCCTGTCTGCACGGTAAACGAGAATATTTACCACTGCTTTCATTCTAGCACTTTTTTTCTTTCTCCTCTTGTTCTTTCTGCTTTTTAAGACAGTATTCAAAAGGCTCCTACTTCTTTGGTTCAGCCAGTCAAGATTGCCCCAGAAAGCGGTCAAACATTTAACCTAGAGGAAACCCACCAGGTTTATTCTCATGGTTAAATCACAGCACAAAAACACTTTCATCCCTGCACATGGAGACTCCTGCTGCTACACACACCAGCACAGAGGAGGCAGCACGGATAGGCAGCTTTCACAGCACCACCTGCTACCCAGGTACAGCTGCAGAAGGGTGTTTTTAGCAGACAAGGCATCAGACATAGAAGGAAGCGGCAATTCCTGCCATCGTTGATCTCCATCCCTGATTCAGTCAAGGCCTGGTCTGACGCTGTGTAACTCTCAGGCTCTGGGGCAACTAGAGAACTCATGCACCAGCAGCAAAAAGTTGTCAGCCCTGCAGACTGGAGAGAGATGCAGTAAGGACCAACATCAGGGCACTCTCCTCTCCAAAACATTTGGCTAATGGAGTCTCTCTGCATTAACTTTTCTAAGGCTCCAAGAAGCAACACTACTGCAGGCATGCGGAAGGGTTTCCTTTTGGGACACAGCAAAACTCACTGCATAAGAAAGCCCTGAAGGCCCGGCGCGCAAGCGGAGCGGGACGCACAGGCTGCAGGACACCCAGCCAGCCACGGTTCCTGGGGGCACGGGCGCTGCCTGCGCCCCACAAGGCGCCCGGGGGGCCCGCTCACAGGGCCCGGCAGGGGCTGCTGCCGCGGCCCGGCAGGACGCGCCCGGACCGGCTCCGACACGGCGCGTCCAGCCCCCGGCTCCCGTAACCCGCTCCCCGCGCGGCACCCGCGGGCTCCGCGCCCCGGCAGCC